TGGTACACCTTCTGATACACGTTCAAGTCTGAGAAACACTGGTCTAAGCAAAAGAGCTCCCTAAAGTCCGAACAACCGGTTGAATGTGGTTGGAAAATGACTAATATTTTTATACTTATGAGGCAGTTCACAGTTGAACTTTATCTCTTCTGAGCTTCTTAAAACAACTCTGTACAGTAACTACAGTAACTAAAAAAGGCAGTTTCAGCATTTTATAAATGAAACCAAAGCTCAAATATTTAAGGGATTTGTTCAAAGTCAGGTAGCACACAAGGATGGAACCAAAATTAGAGCCCAGGTCTACTGAGTCGTACAAACTAACAAGCAGGACATTCTGAAAACAGGGCAAACGGCTGTAAGCCATAAGTAATAGCCTGAAGAGAAGGGCTCTCTAAGGTCCAAGCAAGCGATGACAGCAAGGGTTACCAGCACATAGTTAGGTAACTTCTTATCACATGAGTTACAGACATTTGTACCTGGAGCTCTCAAAGACCGAAGCAAAATACGTACTAATCCTCTTTTCGCCTGAGTTTGCTATGATGTAGAACCAGCTTCAAGAAACACAAATGTTTAGCCCTCATCCAACTACTTAAGTGGATAAGCCAGTCACCTTTGGTTGTTCACTCCACAATTCTACAAATAATTCATTCAAAGTTCAAAGTCAGATGACATAGAATGGAAAAACAACCCTAATATGTGTGTGGGGGGGTGTTTACATACTTATGTGTTTCATATTTATAAAAACACAAATGATCACAATTTGCATTTGTCACCTGAGACTTGGCTGCTGCGTTCCTCTGTCCATAAATAACAACAAATGCTACAATTCACAGGTGCATCAATGTTAGCAAGTGTACCTAATATGCCATATTCCTAGACAAAATATAGTGTGCTATACTCTATCATTTACCAAAGGTATTTGATAAAGGATTCAATGTGAAATCAACGGTCCTTAAAGTATCAGTAATAACCAATAAATGTTGATTCGTGATTTAGCCACAGAGAAAGAAACCTTCATAATTGTCACAAACGTTCCCCAAAGACCCATGCCCACAAAGTTTGTTTTCAAATAGTGAATTACAAGTGGTAGGAAAATCACATATTGTGTCAGAAATATGTTTGAGTGTTGACACTCTCTTTGTAAATGTAGGCGTTCCAGATGCCTTATAGAAGAGAAGCCCTTTTTCCCTTGAAATTTGCACAAAATTCTCACACTGCACTGTCAAATAATCATATTTTTTGGTTGTTTCCTCTTTTTCCCCTAGTGTAAAAACATGGGAATAAGACCCAGAATTTTGAAAAATTAAAAACTTAGCTATATTGAACTTAGATACTTATTTTCTTATACCTAACTCTTATTAAGTACATTCGCATATTAAATGGGAAAAATGCTATCACCATAGAAAGTATTATAGTATCTTCCAAACATCAAAAAGGTCAGAACTGTAAAACAGATAAAATTTCAATACCTCAAATTTAAAATATTTAAATCCACAATAGTATGAAACCTCTGCATTTTACCATATATGCACTTACACAACACGTAAAAATATGCGTATATATATCATTTTTACAAAGTTACCTTTTGAACAGATACATTAGGATCAATTATTTTATAATTATCTTTCTAGACATATGCTACTGATATTAAAAATATAGTCAGTGGGACTGTTAAAAATGAAAATTTAAAGCCTAGATTAGAATGCTGTCTATTTCCATTTTTCCTTTGACTTATCAAGAAAGCCACATGATTTCAACCTGCTAAGATGAATCAGGAGGTGAATCTCTTTGGGAGCCTGTGTGCAAGGGCAGAAAGTTAGAAAAACCAGTGCTAGAAACGTGTCTAGTAATTGATGAATTCCTGCACCTGTTGGGGGTGGCAGTGAGACAGGTGGGCTCTGTTCAGAAAAACACCTGAGGCACTCCCGTAAGTCAAGTCCTGTGGGTATGTCTTACACTTTACTGTGCTTACAAATATAAATGAGGATTCTGGTTCAGTGTCTAGGAAGAAACCCATGTGTGCTGCTGCCACTGGTCTCTGGATCGTACTTTGACTCTATGCCCTAAGATAGAAGATGGTGTGTGGTTTCCTTTAGCTCTTAAAGGATCTCATAAAGAAGCTCTGAAGATCTAGATTCTTGTCTGGGAAATAACAGGGTGAGGTTGGTATACATGAGAGTACTTCTCTTTCCATCCTGTTCTGTCACCTTCATTCTATAGTCTTTTGTTGTTTTTTTCCCCCAAAAGATAGAAATTACAAAGTAAGACCCCAAGACTAGTATTCATCTCCTATCATAATTATACAAAAATGAGCACCAGTTCCCCAAAAATACACTTTTTCTTTTCATGGGAGTAAGGCAGTAAAGGTAAGTGTTTTGGGGATGGTCAGCCAAACTCCTGTCCCTGGACCACCAGAATTATAAAACCTTCCTTGTCTCCTTTTGCCATTTCAGATTATTCAGGGCCACACATTCACTGAGAGAATTTTTTTTTTCTCCTTGCCATTTCACTTTCTCAGTGCCAAACATCTACTGTGGCTTCCAATGAATCAAGTTCTCCTTCCTCTCCTCCCCTGGAAGCTCATGCTCCCAGCAAAATGTCACAAATAAAGTAGAAGCAAGTATTTCCCAGGCTAGACTTGTAAACAGAAAGCAAGAAAACCATTCTTTACCGGGAAACTGACCCACAAAGCTTACTGGGCTCAGTTAAAGAGATTGAGAAGAAGGTCAGCTAAGAAAACAAAGGGAACTCTCTCCATAGTTACTTCTGATAGAGCTCCATCAACCCAGAAATAAAAGCCTTGTCCAAGGCAAAGGAAATTAAAAAAAAAAAAAAAGAGGGCACATTAGGTGAGGTTTGGAAAAGCAACAGACTCTCACAGGTGACTTCTCCACAAGCTCTGTTTGTCTATCTTCTCTTTCCCAGTGAATAACTGCTTCTATATTTACTCTTATTTCTCACTCCCTCCATTTCCACACCGTAATGTCTACTAAAGTGTAATGCTTAAAAACTCCATTTGTTTTAAGCCAGGGACACATGGAAGCACATCGATATCATATGTAGGTATTTATGTAGTAAGATACCTCTCATAGACATAGACTTTCATGCATATGCTATCTGAGAATACAAGAATATCCTTTTCTTCTGAATTAACATTTAAATGTTTACCTAACTCTTTAATTAAACTGTAGCTTAAGATACGGGTGATGCTGACTTACAAAGTTCATGGGCATTTAAATAAAAACTCACACATTCAGGGTATTCACTTACCCCATGTTCAGTCTCATAATCAGCAAAAACAATCTTCTTGGGGATAGCATAAATTTATATAGAGTGCTTCACTAGTAAAGGGTTAATGATGTTAGGGAGTATGAATGTTAGCAGTTGAGATGGCATGCTTATGTGTTCGCAAAAAACATTTTCTGCATCATATCCAAATCCCTTTGCAAACAGATAAATTACTCTATAAATCTTATTACTCCATGTGGATAAATCACACATGCAGGTTTACAGGGCTGGAAAGCTGGTAGGGAAAATCTGCTTTGGAGAGTAGGATCTTTGGGATTCATAATCATTCAAGAAATGAAGAAAGGAGGTTTTTCTTAGTTTTTACAATCGGCAGCAACACACACACATAACACAACACACAACACATACACATTCCTCTCTAACAAAATCTAGAGATCCCAAAGCAGGACACTGTGACAGCCAACCAAATTTATTTCTGAGGAAAGGAAAGAAAACTTTGCTGCTGTAGGCAGCTCTGCTAGAGAACTGCTCCCTGATGCCCCAAGGTTTATGCACTATCAGCTCCTTGCACACAGATTAGAGGTTTACTTTCTATAGTTTACTGTTTTTTATTGCCGCAACAAGCAATATTAACTGTATGGACAGACTGACACTGGGTCATTTTATTTGGACAAAATGAGATTTTAAAGGATTTCCAAGGAAAACATTTTTTCTTCATTCTTTTTTTTTGGTATCTGATAGAAATTTAAGAAAGCTAGAAAAAAAAGACGAGGAGTATGTGCAGTGGGTAGAGGAGGGGAAGAGAGAAGAGAAACATAGGAAAAGAAGCTTGAAGCTTTTTTAGAAATAGAATTACGGCTAGGTTCCGTCTGAGTTTCTCCAGCACACTCTCCCTTATAGGGGTCAAACTCCCAAGGACTGGGACTCTCCCTGTCCAAATTTCCCAATCCCAAATTATATTTCAGAGTTTGGCAGAGCCACACAGAGATAGGACTTTAAGGTCAATAATCAATTCGAAATACCCATTTTACACCAGGTTAATTCTTGCCTAACCTTTGCGCTTAATACTCCTATTCTTAAATATCAGCAATTTGGCAAGTTCCTTTTTTTTTTCTTCTCTACTTTCATGTGTTGATGTCTATCCACATTCCAGAAAAGGCTCAGTAACCAACCGAAGTTCTAAGATTGATTTATTGCCCTCCATGTCAATTAGATGATCCTTACAGAAAGTCTCCAGTCCGAACTACTGCTGGGGCAGAGTGAGAGCCTTGATGCGCATATATTTCTCTCTCTCTCTCTCTCTCTCTCTCACACACACACACACACAGCATAGAGAATGCAGTACTGTGTACCACTCTCTGAGAGCCATAATTCAACAACTCTTCTTTCCCATTTAAAGAACCCCAACAAAACTCTTAAGTGCAAAGCATCTGAAATTACCAAAGGAAGAATCCTGCCCAAATGTCACTAATACCATAGGTGAAGTTAGGCTTTCTTGGTAAGAGAAACAAGGTCCTAAGAAACCAAACAACATTTAACCAACATTGCTGGTCCTTGACGGGAAACAGAATTCCCTTGAAATTTGTTGGCAGATACCTGGGCCATTCAGTAAAAGGCGCGTGTGCATGCACGGCACACACACACACACACACACACACACAAGCCTGCACTATCAGAAGCTGGAGTTGAAGATCACACACACACACACACACCCTCTCCCGCACAGCAGAAAAGTTGCCCGAAAGCCCTACCTGAGGATGGCTGTGTCCCCCTGCCTCACGGTGATGTTGTCCGTGCCTCGGTTAAAATCCACGCTGCGAACAGGCAGTCCTGTGGGGAGAAGGCAGAGCAATCTCAGTAGGACTAGCGGCAACTGTTTCCGATCGGGCTGAACTCTGCCGACCATGGTGGCCACGCCGAGGTGCAGGTCCGGGTGTACTCTGGAGGGTGTGTGCGTGCTGCTCACGCCGAGAGGGCTTTACAAACACAGGGCTTTCATCAACAGCCAAGGCAGAATGGGCTTTGCCAGTTTGTGCTCCTTTCCACTTTGCCTCTCTTTCCCTGGCTCAGTCTCTCTTCCCTCTAAGACTTAACAAAGCCCTCATAAAACCCAAGCCGGGGTGGGGGGGGTAGCCAAAGGAGCACAATTTAAAAGGATAGAGTACAAATATAAAACCCTCTAGAAAAGACGAAGAGAAAGCTGCAAAAGGAAGGTGTTCTTCTCTGGTCTGTCTGTGGCTGGATGCTCCTTTGCCAGTGTCTGAGCTGAGCTCCTTCCCTCCCTAACCCACTTTCCCAGGCGGGCGGGCGGGCAGGCAGGCGAGGGAGCCGGCACCCAAGCCTGCCAGGGAGTGTAAAGAAACCCACACAGCCGCGGCAGCAGCCCAGAGCCTCGCCCCCCTCCCTTTCCTGTTTCTCCCTCCAGTCCCTCCCCTCCGCTCGCACCTCCCCCGCCCCCCGCGGATTTCAACAGCCCCTCCACGTCATCCCCTCCGCCCTCCCTCCGGCCTGGCCCCTCGCTTTGCACAACTGCCCCCTTCAGCAGCCGCCAGCCTCAGTGAAAGCCTGATGCGCCTTTAGGTTGTCAGGACAACAGCTCCATCTGAGGCCTGGCTGATTTCCTTAAGACGAGGGAATGGAGCTTGGATGTACTGTGCAAGAGAAAGGGGCGAAGGAGAAAGAGTGTGGGAAAGAACGGGGGAAAGGGGGGGAAAGAAGGAAAAGGAGCCGGGAAGGAGAGAAGGCAAGCCGGGACAGATGAAGGGGGCGCGCCAGAGAAGGGCCAGAAAGCGTGGGGAGTGGACGGGCCCCGGTTGCCCAAAGGTGGGATGGGGCATGTAGGACGGAGAAGACACTTGAGAGGGGAGGCTAAGGTTAAGAGCCAAAGTTGATTTCAAAACTAAATATTCCTGGCCACTGGTTTTTCATACTCACCTCTTGTTCATTCTTTCCTCTCCCCTGCACTTTCTTTTACAAGATTAAAAAGGTTTCTTTTCTCCCCTTCCTTTACCCCCTCCCCCTCTTGGAGCCCCCTTATGAAAGATGGACTGGAGACAATGCTGGTATTGAGTGGTCTGGAGTGTGAATGCCTGGTTTGTCTTTTCCAAGTGCCAGCCTCAGCAGCTGATCCCCAATCCCTAAATCAAGCTCACTCTCCAGGAAACCCTCTCTCAGTCCCACACGTGAGGAATGGTACTGAGGATTACTGTCTAAATGTCATGTTGCTGCTGCTACCTAACTTGCTACTGGCACTTGTTTCTCAAAATGTTCATATGTAAGGAAGAGATTGGTGTATCAGAAAGTTTGTCGTTTACAGGACCACACTGAGGCTATGCAGAGAACTCCCGAGAATGGCAGACAGGTTTCCATCCTTTGTCATTCCTTCTACTCCAGGAGTCAATCCCAAGTGAGAAGGACCCTAGGGCCTAACACTGCTAGTCACTCATGTGACAGCCCCACACTATTAGATATCTCCCTCACCACGGATGCTGAGGATAAAAGGTAGGGGTGGACCAGCCAAGGACTTCTTTTTTTTTTTTCCTTTTAAAATTTTGTTTATTTATTTGAATAGTTAAGGCATTGACATGGTGCAAAAATCCAGTGGTACAGAATGCTGCAGAGCGAATTGTAATTATCTTTCCTACTCCTGTCTTTAGGCAACCATTGCTCCTGTTTGGAGGCAACAAGTATTTCCAGTTTCTTATACAACTTTCCCTAAATCTTCCAAGTATATACAAGTAAATACGCACGCATATTATGTCCACCCCTCTTAGTTACACAGATGATTAGCCAAGGGCATGGGGTGGGAGGGAAAATATGTTTAGGAATTCTTATCAAGTCCCATCAGAGTACAAGCCCTAAGGAGGCATTTTCTGTGCTGACACCTGTCTTGTCCCCCCAGAATTCAAAGAATTTATCTGCTGAACTTTTTCAATTTGAAAGGAGGTGCACTCTTACAGATTATGTGAGGAAAATAAGGAAAAAATTGTGGTTTTTAGTGTTTTGTACTAGGTTGGTGTTGATAAGCAGGGCCCAGGTAATAAACCAGTGATGTTTCACCCCTAATTTTTAACTCAGCTGTTTAAAATTTGGAACCCCTTTTGCCACAAGAAATGATTAAGCCAAGTGGTTAGGTGAACTACAAAACCCATAACCCTTGGTTCCCAGTATCAATGGGAAAATGAACTTCAAGTGCCAGATGGAAATGCATGGATTACATAACTCTATGCAAAGATTGCAGGGAAGAGAGCACCCACCCTCACCCACCCCTGCCAATAGGCTTGACAATTCCCAGTGGGCTTCTTCTGAGCTTTTAGAGATGAAGGATAGTCTTAGATAGAACCTCTTCTTTGTGTGAGTGGTGTTTCTCCAATGTCAGGAGGAAGAAAGTAAAGACCCAAAGGACTGGGGCCACTGGAAAATCCATTGATGAGGCCAGGTGAATGGTATGAGACCCCCTTCTCCCCCCATGGGAACTACAGTATCAGTATCCTCTTGTATCAGTGGGCTACACTTTGAATGAAGACATGAAGAGATTTTTTTCCAGGGCAAGAAGGAAGTAAGGTGGGGTGGTAGCATATGATTTGCAGGAGATGCTGTATAAGGGTTGCTGACTAAGGTCTATACAAGTAATCTCAAATTACCAATAGGACTTGTCCAGTCCTAAGATGAAACATAAAGATTGACTGGGGTTCAAAATAATTCACACCAAAGTAACAGGAATGTGGAATTTGTAGCAAATCAATCAAATCTGGAGTTTGTCACTACAATCATTCTGAGAAAAGAATATATTAAGTTAATCAGGATTGTAATCAGAAATGGAATAGACATGCCTAACCTAAGAAGATAAAATCATAAGTACATATTTATATAGAAAGAGATGATATAATTAATTAAAAGTTTTTTAAAAATATTTTCATTAAAGTCCATTTATTGGTCACTTTTGTTAAACTAAATTGACTTACTTTGTTCCCTGGAAGTAAAACACAAAAAGACTACATTTTATTTTATTTATTTTTTTAAGAGGACTACTTTTTAAAAAATTCTCTAATTTAGACTGATAATTTATACTGGATTTCTGAAGAATTGCCAAAAAATGAAGTTTAACATATAAGTTAATTCTTAAGTCTTGGCACAGGGGCAGCACTCTATACTTGATGAATGTGAGAACAGAGGAATGACTGAATGCCTAAGCCCACTCACGTGGCTTATCCCATATCATTTATAAAGTAATAAGTCTATTTGTGAGTGTGCCATTGACTTGCATTTCAACTTCATGTTTTCTCGGAGTTTTTCCTCTTTTTACTCCCTTGTGGACTCCTTCTGGTTTTCTTGCCTCCAGGATCTCTCACTGAGATCTAATAAATTCTAATAAATCCAATAGTCTATATATATATGTGTGTGTATATATATATATATAGAGAGAGAGAGAAACTTATCTCATCCTAATGGTCACTCCCCCAAATGTATTCCAAAATGAACTCCTCTGCTTGCTTTCTTAAGAAATGTAAAGAAGGAAACAAATAGATGAGTTACTGAAATTTATACAAGCTATTTTTCTGTACACCACTATATGCATTCTTCCAAGAGGGCTGGCAAAAATGAACATACTTTCGGGTTATTTGTGAGGCAAGTATGGCTGTTAGCCATGTGAAACAGCCATCATCACCCAAGTAAGATGATCTTAACTACTACTTTAAAATAACATACTGCCTTCTAAAAGAGGCTTTAGAAGATTCTGGCACTCTCCAGGGACAAATGCAGGAAAAACAAAAACTGGCTAATGTCTGAGCACCCTAAGAAGCATGAAGGTTTATTCTTTTGTTTAGCTTTGTAACCTGACAGACAGGCTCACAGGAAATCCAGATGCAGCCTCGAATGTACAACTAATTTAGTTACGTTGCTTGCGTTTTATGCTAAACATGTCTATAATATTATTAACGTACCCCTCTACATTTCTACAGTTGTAAGGTCTTAATCATAATAACGCCATGCCTGTACTTTACTTTCATAAGCGGAATTAGCATTTCCATATGAACTAGAAATGCAGAAGTGTTAATACTTCTCCTTAGGATTCCTGCTATGACATTTTCAATGATTTCATCATAATTTAGCAATATTCAAGTATCTCAGTTTATGTTCATAAGCATGGCACTATCTCGTGTGAATTTCCTTCAGAATCTGGCACCTTTGAATACGGTAGCTTCATCCACATGTGCCTCACTGCCTAACAAAATCAATCAGCTTCAAGTCAGTTAAATATTGTTCAAATCCTTACTACAGAACTCTCACTCAATCTGTAGTCTGCACAAATAAATTGTTCTTTCATGGCTTGATTTTCATTCATGCTTTTGCGGTATATTGTTACCATATCGGTCTTCTGCTCCTTCGTTCATTCATTCTGTTTCGGTAAATATCAGTACTTGGATCTGTCTAAGTTTTCATAAGGTCTTTGAGGTTCTTGAACTGCTGTTTGGGTCCTCCCACACCAGCAAACTTACTCTCGTATATATGTCTTATTATTTCACAGACATGTACGTGCCATCCCTAAGATCTTCCTTTTTTTCTGGATTGTCTAGTCTGCCCCCATGGACAAAGAGGTGGCAATTGCCAAGGAATGCTGCATCTGCATTGCTACTGTTCTTTTATCTATCCCTCCCATATGGGAAGAACACTGCAACATTTGGAAAGATGGTGGTAGCAGCATCTTCAGTATAGCAAGATGTTAGTACAAGCAGGTAATCAGATAATTATATCCTCTATTTGTGGATACCATAGTGACTTGGATACTTATACTCAGGAAATAGGCCAAGGAGAAATGAAAAAGAGTGGAGGCAGGTATGCCGTTCTGTACTCTGACATGCCCAGTAGGTTTATGAGTCATTCATTCATTCAGTGTTTATTGATATGATAGTTACACAAGACAGACCAAGACTCAGTTCTCACAGAACTTATATCCTTAATGGAGAAATAGACAATAAACAAGTAAATACATATTAAGATTACGTTGGAGAGTAAATGCTATGGAGAAAAATATGTGTGATACAGAGAAAATGGCCTAGAGGTATGGTGAGGGGAATGCATGCCCTGAAATCTAAGGAACCAGACATGCAAATATCTGCAAGAAGACTTCCAGATAAAAGAAATGGCATGTGCAGAGGCTCTGAGGCAGGGACAGATACACCGTACACAAGAAAATAAAACAAGAACAGTGACCCAGGAATGTGGCTTATATGTAGGCTGTGGGAGGTAGCTAGAGAAAGCAGATGAGATTAGAAATTGAGGAGGGGTCATAATGAAGAGATTCCAAAGTAAGAATTTAGATTTTATTCTAGTGACTTGAAGGATCAGTAAAAGATTTTTTTTTAATTTTATT